ATAATAAACTAGATTAATTTTATTAAAGTACTATATGGGCTTATATACATTATATTACATTAATTTTATATGTAAAAATGTGGGTACCTAGTTCACTGCGCATCCAAATTTATATTTAAAATAAAGAAAGTTTCAGGTTTAAAATTGAACACCAAGTTTTATGATAATACTCTCCCTAATTCACCCCCTTACGAGTGAATTTCAGGATTATCAAGAATAATATTTTCTTAAAAAAGTGACAATAAAAAGTGTTCCATATGGAGCAGGCTTTTTGCGAGACACTGTATATATATTTAGAGAGCAATCCATAATATATTAGAAAATAATTAAAAAAAAATTATAATCACATAAATGTGATTTACCTTTTAGAATATCGTATATATACAGCAAAGTTTACTAATCTTTATAAAAAAGATTTATATTCTACAAAATCTTTCTTAAATTTTTTAACATTCAAAAATGTTTTAATTTAAATGTAGTAACATGCACGTGTGAGGTACAAAATACCTTAATCCGTCTATAATTATCGATTTTTAACAAGATGGAGACCGGACATCGTGGAAGAAAGACAGCGAATTTAGTAAAGAATTTTAACTCGATTAAAAAGCGTTGTTTCTTTTTCCATTTTCTAAAAAAACTAACGGACCTTTTTGAAATCGGTTTTCGGTGATTTTCCTTCTGATTTATTACCTTGGAAAGTGGTAGATTTATATAAAAAACAAAAAAAGCTGACTTATTATTTTTATGAAATGAAAATTTGTTGTTATTTTCACAGTTTTTAACCGCCCTCTGTTTCCATAAAAAAATTATTACGATGTTGCCAAGCCAGCACTTTTCTAGATATCAACACGTTCTTTATTGTACTTTTTAAATTTTTTTAAAATATTCTTTAGTTTTTTCATAGTTTGGGAAAAAGAATAGCATTGAAACTCCTATACCGGAAAAATTGTACGTACGCTCTTAAGGAGAACCACTATTGGTATTTTCAAATTCAGGGCTAGCTGCACATAACACAAATGAATTTTTGCATTTTGTGCTTTTGGACTTCTGGAGGAATAGAAGTGGAGAAAATATCTCATATTGACAGCTTTTGAGAAGAAAAGATACAAAATAAAATTAAATTTTTTTATATGCAATATGTCTTGCCAGAACTTGTTGACAGCGAAGCAATAGAGACATGGAAGTACGAGACAGAATATTAAATAATTCGTGAGAAATTTTGTTTAATGTTTATTAACATAACGCAAGGAATCTTAAATTATTTTGAATATTTTTATTAATTTAAGAATTACATTTTATTTATTTCTAAAACATGGTAGTAGGCGATCCATTTAAGATATGATTAATGTCTTATTATTATATCACACTATTTTAAATTTAGGATTTTACCAGTGGCAGTGGTAATTGATGATAGGTATATAATTATTATTACACCAAATGTTTTAAAAGGCTACACCAACTAGTGGACCACGCTTTTAAGTCCCCAAATAATAGTTTCAAGATTTTGATTAAGATTAGAAGTTTTACTATACAGGGTTTTGTGTCAAAGCCAAGTCATGTAGGTATTGTTATTGTAATACGTAGATGAGTAACTATCATCAATAGAAATTTAAAATTCAAACATAAATCTTTGTAACGACGTTATTTATAACTTTATTAACTTCATAACGGTCAAAAATGTTAGGTAACTTATTTAATTTTAAATATAAATTGATTTTAATTTTAACTTAGAAATTTTCGAAAAGTTCACTATATTGTTTAGTTGTTGCAACTTTACTGCGCTTAAGTAGCGTTCATATTAAAATATGAATTTATGGAGCTTAACAGAAAAACAGAAACTAATGCTTTCATTCCAAAAAAAGTATTATGGCCAATAAAAAGAATTTCGAATTGTGATATCTGCAAGTCCTTATTTAAAACCTTTAAATTTAATATTATCATTATACAAGAGTTATTTTTACAAATTGATACAAATATCGAACATAAGTTTGTTGACATAAACATTATTTCCATAATACAAATAAATATATCTGTTAAAGAATACTCATAATTTATTTAATATATTCATTTAAACATGTTTTTGTTTTTTGTCTGGATGATATTGAATACTAACTTTTTCTATATAACTTCTTATCGACACATTGTGAGATAAAAAAACAGACAATTAATTAAAAGCGTACTCACAATTTCAATGCTATACTGTTTTCCAAATTATGAAAATACTAAAGAATATTTAAAAAAAAATAAAAAGCCAATTAAACAATGTGTTAATATCTAGAGAAGAACATCGTACTTCTTTTTTAGAAACGAAAAGTAATCAAAAATTTTGTTTTTTATGTAAATCATATCATTTTCAAGGCAATAAAACAGAAGAAAAGTCACCGAATACCGATTTCAAAAAGGTCTATTAGTTTTTATAGGAAATGGAAAGAGAAAGAACTCTTTTTAAACGAGTTAAAATTCTTTACTAATTTCGATAACTACAAATGGATTAAGGTATTTTATACCGTGTTAAAAAATTTAAGAAAATTTTTGAAGAATATTTCTTTTTTTTTTTTAAATTAGTAAATTTTGACAAACATATACAATATTCTAAAAGATAAATCACATTTATGTGATTATACAAAACTTTAATTTATTTTTCTAAAATAATATGGATTGTACTCTAAAATATATATAGTGGCTCGCAAAAAGTCTGCTTTTTATGTTACTTTTTTCAGAAAATGTTATTCCTGATAAAACTTAGTGTTTAATTAAACCTAAAACTTTATTTTTTCAAAAAATTCTGTACCATAAATATAAATTTGGCTGCACAGTGAACTAGGTACTCTTCTAGGAACCGAACCCACATTTTTACATATAAGATTAATTTAAGAATATGTATATAACTCCACATAGTAGTTTTTTAGTTATTACAAATAAAATAGATTATTATACCTTTTTTAACCTACTTCAAAAAGGAGGAGGTTCTCAATTCGTCTGTATATTTTTTTTATGTATGTTCAGCGATAATTCTTTAACACAATGTCCGATTTAAATGATTCTTTTTTGCTGGAAAGGGGGTACTTCCGGGATGGTTCCATATAAATTTGGTCAAAATCTAATAATTGGGTCAATGGGAAAATATTCAAACTTTTCATTTTTTATGTACATATGTTTAGCGATAATTCTTTACCACCTCGTCAGATTTCTATAATTTTTTTCGTTAGTAAGGGGTGGTCCCATATAAATTTGGTTCAGATATGGTGATGGAATCTGCACGATTTTAAAGTCGGTTTTTTAAAATTACTTTCAATACATCTTACGTAAATTAAAAGTTTAATAATTTGGTGCTCTCTTGATGCGTCGTTTTATTATTTCTTTTTGCATATGTTTAAGTACAGATAATTATTATTATTATTACTGGCAGTTTATTTTAAATCATTAAAATAATATTTTGTTGATCCAAAAAAGGCAAAAAAAGCCATGTCACATTCAGTGTAATAATAAAAATTAGATATATAAATATAATATATTATGTACCAACAGACTAAACTTTCACTTTCAATCTCGTCTTTTGTCGTAAAAGACTTTTAAATTTTTACCAGTGGCGTCCGTGCCGGGTTTGAACTGAATATTTTTGAAAAAAAAATATGGTGCCCCACTGCTTTTTCTAAAAACCAAAATTATCTTTAAAATTCTTATATATTTTGGAGCAAATTTGGTTTATGACGTACTTTCGTACGAAGCACCCTTTTCGGGTAAGAAAATGAAAACCAGTATATTGAAACTGCTTTTGATATTTTGTTGAAATTGGTAGGAACCCACCATGAGTGGAAACACTTTTTTTGGAAAAAATTTCATAAAAATATCTAGAGTGATAAGAAACTTAAAATAGTTATTTTTTTTTTTCTTAAAACTTTAACACCCAAAGGATTCACACCCTTAAGTATCGGCACTCAATTAATAAATACCCTGTATTAATTGATATTACCTTATTCGAACCAATCGTCTATTTTTTCGTTATTTGTATTTACATTTCACATCTCTATACTCTTAAATGTAATTTAATCTAACTAAACCTATTCACTAAATTAAAATATAAAAATAATGTAAAGCCCTCTAATAAATCGAACTGCGTTATAACAATATCTCGCAATGCACCGAGAAAAGCAAATACAATTCTGGTTCCCCTAATTTAGGTAACTCTGACTCACTCCGTGTTAGGATTTTTCGGTTCCTTTGTCTTAATTTCGCGCGTTAGAGTTTGGAATACGTATCCCTCGTATCTACAGGTAATTGTTAAAATTATGAATGAATGCGGATTTTGTTTAGTCTCGGAAGTAATTTTGTAGTATTTAGGCTCCACCCTAAAGTTGTAATTTTTATACCTACTAAACTACCGTTGCCCCGCAGGTCTTTCAGTTTGTAATGTAAATTTTCCTCTTAACCTGCTATATTTTCAGAAAATAGGCTTTTTTAATATAACGTCATCGGTATAAATTGTTGACAACTTATGTTTTCAATCTTTTTTGTCCCTATTGATCACTCGAACGGGGTCAATTGAAAATTTTTAAGCAAATAAGCGTATGTCCTGATTGACTCCCAATATGGGGTCAATCGGAACACATCAAAAAAAATAGTAAAAGCTAAAAAAATCGTATTAGATATTTTCCAAGAGCAGAATCAGTCACTACTCAAAAAATTGATTTTATCCCTATTTTAGTAGATATTAATAAAAAAAAAAAAATAAAAAAACGTTCTATTTCACCCCGTTTGACGGTACTGTTTATTTGTGATTAAAACTAAAATTATACCGTTAAAAAAGTAGAAAAGTAATCATTGTTATTTTCTATTAATCGCAGCAATTGCAAGCGTTATATTAGTTGTTAATGTTATGTTAAAATTAGTTAATACTTAGAATTAGTAATATTATTTATTACATGCGTTTCGATCAATACGAGCTGAAGCAAAGTAGTAAGGCGGGTCCAGGTCCTCTGAAGCTAACATAAAAGACCTACTTCTTCTACCCTGGCTACCGTACACATCTTGAAGCCACCTGAGGATGTTTTGTACCATTTGGTCGGCATTGTTGTTGCTATTTAGTTGCCGTGATGTTCGGGTACCTACAATTTAAATTTAAATTATATTTAATTAGATCAAAAGAAAAAATAACTTATAATAATAATAATCGCCAATAAAGTGACGATTTAGCCTACCGCCCATAAAAATAACATTTATTAATTTAAAATGAGTCCTTGGATTCTTGTGAAGGATAAGGATGTTGTAGATGTTTGTTGAATGTAGGGTTTGACAGGAAATCTGCAAACCACAAGGCAATTGTCGCTATGGCACCTTAGAATATTATGGCATTGAATACCTTCTAGTCTATTCGCTGTGTGCAAGACTGGTAGCGCTCTCTGGTGACGGGATAGCGACAGTTCTCCTCATTCATTCCCGCATACTTGCTATACACCTCACACTCAACAGTTGAACTTGAAAATTCTTTTTCAACAATTAAGTGTTGCAACAAGTTTTGTGTTCGCTGTTAGTTGATAGACTAACAAAAATTGTTTCTGTCGCACAGAAAGTAAGTAAATGACATAAAAATATTTGGAGGTTATGCATACGAAGTATCTGCGTTTTGAATGTCATAAATCAATGTAATTTGTCTGTATTTTTAGATGCTACATTTTTGTCATGAGTGTCATCTTGTACACTGGATTTGAGAAAATATCTCATGAAACGCCAAGAAAAGTAAAGATTTGGTAGAAGCTGGGCATGTCATAAATGTCGAAGAGCACAGAGAGTCAGGTGTTGGCCTTTTTATCCGAGCTGGTGTCATTAGACAAACGTCTGTCACGAAAAAAGAATATCTTGTAGAATTGCATGTAAGATAAAAATTGTGTTGAAATCCATTTATTATTGACAATAATAAAAATAATCGCTACTACGATGATGTGGACAATCGCCGACTCCTGCCACCATAGGCGCTGCGATAGCTCAATCTATCCCCTCCAAGCCAAATGCACACAGCGACTAGTGTTCTAAAAGAGACCGACAAGGTACTCTAACTAATGATTAAAGGATATCCACAATAGATCTGAAAAGTTCTTACCAAAACTATAGCGCTGAATACATGGTCACTGCGAATACACGCAAGTGTAACTGGTCTTAGCAGCGGGTCGCTAGGTATTGTGAAAGGTATTCAAAACGCATCGATCAAGTCCCCAACAGTTATGACCTGGTTACGGCTTGAGTGGGTGAGCGAACTCGCACAGCAGTATAGAAGATAAAAAAGGGACAAAGCGAAAGATTTCGATGAAATTCTTGTGTAGGTTTGGAAAATTGTAGGTGACAAAGAAGGCACTGATACATTTTATATAGCTACTTTCCTTATGTCATTTAACTCGTGTTCTGTGTAGACTTTGTTAACAGCACTGTTAATAAGAACCCAATAATGAACGACACATAAAATTATTTTTTAATGAATTACACTATTTAAAAACAATTACAGTCCTAATGGTATTTGAACACCGCTGACCCATGAATTGGGAGATCAAGGCTTGAACCATTGAGAGATACATCTTCCGATATTTAAGTTTAAAAGATAGGTACGTAATTAACAATTTTGTACTTACTTGCTTTTTTATCACGTTTCGATTTTCCTTTTTGTTCTCCTAAAATTCCTACAGCTAAGAGACATATCGATAGAATGAAGACAATACCGTAAGGAATTTTCATTCTGAAATAAAAATAAAATAGTTATAATAAAGTTTTGGCAACTTAATTAGATTAATTAAAAAAAAAAAATGCAAATTGTACTTGCGCAATAGTGTTTCGTATCGCAATTGTTTTAAAATAAGTATAGTTGATAAATATGTTGATAGATTTAGGAGATTCGTTGATACAAATTACCAGTACAGTAGAGCTTTCTTTTATTGTATACAAAAACTATCTAACAGGATGCAGATAGACAATTTTTATTCAAACTACATCTAATTTTCAACGTTAGTATTTTTTTTTTTAGATTTATTTCTGGATAAGTTAGGGAGCAGCAATTTTTAAGCGTTTTTTCGAAACAATGTTAAAGAAGAAGTAACGCAAACAAACGTATCTTTTATACATTTTTGAGATCGTGTTTCAAAGAATTTTAATTTGATACCTAACATGATAGCACCGGGTTTTTCGTTTTTTAATAATTTAACCTGTCATAACTGACCCCCGCAAGACACAAACAATATTTTTTAGTTGACGCCTGTATTTGGGTCACTACCACAATTTAAATTATGTACGTCAAAAAATAGTGTCTGAGTAAAACGCCTGTGACGAATGGACATACAAATTGAGGATGGAACTTTAAAAATGTAAAAATAAGAGTCGACGTAAAAACATCATAATAATTGGTACTGTATACGTTCTAGATCCAATATTATACTAATATTATTTAAAAAAATAGTTCTTGGAAAAATGAAATAAAGAGGAGATTGTTTTCCCTTCGTTATTTGACATCTTTACACATGAGAAAAATAATAAATATGGCCAAGAATTTTCTGTCGTTCGAGGCGATCACCCTTTCTACTAAAAAATGTCCATTTCAATTAGGTAGCGATTTAGTTATATACTGGTGACAATAAAACTCCTTTATTTATAATGCTATTTGGATAAAATTTTGGACAAATATAATAAACGTAATTTTGAATTGACACTTCTTATACTTAGACCAAATGGGCGACTGCAAGTTTTACTGGAAATGCCATTTTTTATGGACATCCTTCTCGTATATTTATATTTTTTGGAAGTTATGGTTCAAATTTCTTATGACTGAAAAGTACCTATGTTTTGTTTAGGCATGAGTATTTTCTTTTATTATAGTTTATTTGAAGAAATATTTATTAAACTACTGTTAATCAAATAATTTGTTTTAAATTCTTTTTTTAAGTACCTATAATTTTGTGTTATTGAAATAAACATGTACAGTATGGTTCAAATGAAAGGAATAAATTCATTATAATAGAAGTAGTTGGGTTTTCGAAAAAATGCTCGGACAGGTCAATTTTGTTTACTTAAAGCGCAATTTTTTAAATAGAATTCAATTTTCCCCCACTTCCCATTTTTGGGCAGTAACGTCATTGACAATTTTTTTAAATAGTAACCCCAATTTTTTTTCCTGATTTTGATAGATCTTGCAATTTCCTACTCGGAAACATAATATTTGTAATATCTGACATAACAATTTTTTTTGAATAAAAGTCATTTAAAGATCAGATACATAAATTTTATTTTATTTTGAAACACAATAAATGAATAAAAGATTATTTGTAATTAAGTGCTTCATCTAAAAAAAAATAATAATAATAATAATAATAAAAAGAATTTAATGACAATTTCACAAATTCTTTTTTATTATTATTATTAATATTATTATTATTATTATTATTATTATTATTATTATTATTATTATTATTATTATTATTATTATTATTATTATTATTATTATTATTATTATTATTATTATTATTATTATTATTTTGTTAGATTAAGCACTTAATTACAAATAATTATCTTTTTTTCAATTATTGTGTTCTCAAAATAAAATAAAATTTATGTGTCTAATCTTTAAATGACTTTTATTCAAAAAAAATTGTTATGTAAGATATTTCAAATATTATGTTTCCGAGTAGGAAATTGCAAGATCTAACAAAATCAAGAAAAAAAAAATTGGTGTTACTATTTAAAAAAATTGTCAATGACGTCACTGCACAAAAATGGGAAGTGGGGGAAAATTGAATTCTATTTAAAAAATTGCGCTTTGAGTAAACAAAATTGACCTGTCCGAGCATTTTTTCGAAAAACCAACTACTTCCATTATAATGAATTTATTCCTTTCATTTGAACCATACTGTATATTTTTAAATGTCTTTTATTGGTCTGATAAAAATATTATAGTGTAATATCGCATTCATTTTGCATTGATATTTCAGAAATATTTTAGAAACGTTTCTACAAAGTTTCATAATAATATGCGCTGCAAAATTAACGCATAATTCTAAATATCGAAAAATAATTGACTTTATAAAAATATAACCAAAATATTTATTTTTGAAATTTTAGAATTATGCGTTAATTTTGCGGCGCAGTGTATTTATGAAACAAAACTAGAGTACATTTCTGACATGTCATATTTCTGAAAAATATCAAATTTTTATTTCAGAAATATTACTGTGAAATATATTTACAGAACAGTTTTACATTTCAGGCACATTTCAGAAATGTTTCTGGGAAGTTTCGTAATATTTATACAACATTACAAATATTTCAATGTAACATTTTTGAAATATTTCCAAAATGCTTTTGTGCTGTATTGGTAGGTATGTTATTCGTGTAAAATACACATTTATTTCAACTTATAACAATAATTATTTTCACTTACAATAAATAAATCAAATAAAATTCTTTAAAAGACGTTTTATAGTAATTTACGTTACAAGACCGAAAAGTAGTGTTTTGCAGGTCAAGACAAGCAGATTCCAGGGCGAGCCGTAAGCGAGACTTGGAAGCTTGGAGGGACCGCTTAACACTAATTTTCGGTCGCGTGATGTACAATATTTTTTTTAAGACCGATATTTCGATATAAACCCAATTATTTATTTTATTTATTAAAGTGATTAACAAATACTAAAACTAGATAATGAATACAACTGCATAAACTAACCAAATACATTATTTTTGAATATTTATGTTAAATGTACATTTTTGATGCTTAAAACATGTATTCTGGAATTTCATTTTCTATGTCAGATAGTTCAAAATCTGAATCTATATTTTTAAAATTGCGAAATCAAGTTTGACATAAACAACAAATTAAAAATCGACGAACTGTCACTTGGCAATAAATCGGAACCTTGTTACCAGGGTAACGAAATCAAGGCAGACTGTATTATTAAACAGCGATCGGAAAAATTAAAAAGAGAGACCGGTAAAGCTTTTATTTACAACCATATGTGTAATGTTGTCATTACTAACGTCATTGAAGGTTGGGAAGAGTCACATTACACATCTCTACTTCCCGCCCTCACTTCCCGCCCTCATTTCATCTATTCTAGATGAATATTTGTTATATTAAAAAAAAAAATAACACATTGTTTGACAAATTTTATAATACCTATTTAATGGCAAACAATAAAAAACAACAATGATCTCAAATATAACAAACTACTTATTGATATTTATTTTTCACGAATTTAATATCCGGCTTTATCTGACATTTATTTATATTGGTGATAGTTGTTTACCCCGTAATCACAGTAACAATATATTAACTTACTTGATTATTCTGAGAAAACCGCGCGCTTGGTAATTTGTCGTTAAATGTAATATTTTAGGTATGTTCAGAACAAAACAGAGATTTATTAACTTTGATCGAAATATGATGGTTGTAAATAAAATAGTATACAAACCTCGGTAGGAATTTTCATGTCTGTCTCGAGATCAAAGCTAACCTCGACGCTTCGCGTCTCGGTGATCTAACTAATCTCACGACAGGAATGAAACTCTTCCCACCTCGGTGTGTAATATACTATTACTGGTCCCTAACGTCTACTTTCCGGTCTTGATCCGAAAAATGTTACTTTCTGGACGAAAAATTGTTCAGAAAGTGTATACTTTCTGGTCGGTCTTTACAAAACAATTTATTTGAAGTTGAAGAATGAGAGCAATATAAAAAAATGTGGTTTCAGAGATGACAAACATGGATATCTAGTGAAATTAGTACTCGTGACGCAGTGCATAAAATAGCTTCATAAGAAATTCATTTTAAAAACAATGATATATAAAACACTAAAATTAAACCGATAATTCTGAAAATCAATAGAGTTCTCGGTTGGAAAACATTATCAAGTAAAATCAAAACCGCAACCGATCTATAGTTATCGAGTCGGCGCACTACATGTCTATACACTTGCGCACGTATGGACGATTCCATAGACATAGGGGCCTCAATAATTTGAGCATGAAATTGACATTCTGTCAAGATGATAAACTTTCACATACTTTGATTTTCTTTTACTATACGGAGAATGGTCGCACTGCGCAGCTTTCTGAGTGCCTTTTAAAAGGAGATAGAAAACTCCGCCATTTTCATCCCTTATTACGTGTTGCCTACATCTTGGCGCAATATTTTTAATAGGTGCGTTTTAATCATACGCTTCTGCTTCGGAATTGTCGGTTTTCCTGTTTTAATCTGACAGGTTAAAACGACTAAACCGACAATTCCGGAAGCAGAAGCAGATGATTAAAACGCACCTGATATTTTGCTTGCTGCTGTCAGTGTCAGTGAATATTATTTTTGGAGTCACAGTTTATTGCTAAAGAATCAGTTAGCTCACTCGGACCAGCTGAAAGTTCCAAAATAACATCCACTCCAGGGATACGCAGAAGACCGCTGTTTTATTATAGGCGGTTGTCATGTATTATCCAAGTTGCGCAGTGTATAAACTGGAACATTGAGATAAAAAGTGCCGACGCAGAGTGAGCGATCTGATTCTTTAGTTATAAACTGTGGCATAGGAATCAAAATGGCCGCGCCCTATGTTGGGCGTGTCGGACCTCTCTCTTGCATCGTATAGCAATCAAAGTATGTGTAAACTTTTAACTAAATGGGAGAATTATAATAGCAGTTCACATTGGTCCAAAACGACTTGTATTTCGGAATAATTAGAATATTCCTCTAATGAAATATATTTT